CGCGGTTGCGGGGGCCGTAGGGGGGTCCGGGCGGCCGGTCAGGGCCGTGGGGCCGGGCCGTGGTGCGGGGTCCCGGAGGTGCCCGGCTGGGCCCTGTCCCCGTCTTGCTGCCTGCGGGGACACTGTCAGCACCCCCCCCGGGGGACCGGGGTGTCACCAGATCATGGTGACAGAGATCGGGGAGGGGGAAGCGGGGGCAAGGACACCCTTAGGGATGTGGGACAGGGATGGGGACGAGGACACTGGGATGGGGACAAGAATATGGGGATGAGGACAAGGATACTGGGACAGGGACAAGGATACTGGGATGGGGACAAGGATACGGGGATGGGGACGAGGACACTGGGATGGGGACAAGGACACTGGGACGGGGACACGTCTACAGGGACAAGGTTGGGGACCGGACTAGGGGGCAGGGACAAGGATACTGGGATGGGGACAAGGATACGGGGATGGGGACGAGGACACTGGGATGGGGACAAGGACACTGGGACGGGGACACGTCTACAGGGACAAGGTTGGGGACCGGACTAGGGGGACAAGGTTGGGGACGTGGGGGCCGGACCGTAGAGCTGCTGGATGCCGCGGCGGTCATCGTCGGGGAGGACGAAGGCCTCGGTGTCCATCCACTGGTAGAAGGGGGCCATGATGGCCGAGGGGTCGCTGGAGTGCTCCAGCCCCAGCGCGTGGCCCAGCTCGTGCACCGCCACCAGGAAGAGGTCGTTCCCTGCGGGGGAGGCGGGGGGCACATGGGGGTCACCAGAGCAGGGCTGGGGGGGACACGAGGGGCAGGTTGTGGGGGCAGGAGGGTCCTGAGGAGCCAACCGGGACGAGGATGGAGCGGGATTGGGACGAGGATGGCCTGGATTGGGTCGAGGACACCTCTGGGTCCCCCATTGGGCCAAGGACACCTCTACATCCCCCATTGGGATGAGGATGGCCCAGTTTGGGCCGAGGACACCTCTGCGTCCCCCATTGGGACGAGGATGGCCCAGGTTGGGATGAGGACACCTTTGCATCTCCAATTGGGATGAGGATGGCCCAGGTTGGGCCGAGGACACCTCTACATCCCCCATTGGGTGGAGGATGGCCCAGGTTGGGATGAGGACACCTTTGCATCTCCAATTGGGATGAGGATGGCCCAGGTTGGGTCAAGGACATCTCTGTGCCCCCATTGGGACGAGGATGGCCCAGGTTGGGATGAGGACACCTCTGTGTCCCCCATTGGGACAAGGATGGCCCAGATTGGGTCGAGGACACCTCTGTGTCCCCCATTGGGACGAGGATGGCCCAGGTTGGGTCGAGGACACCTCTACGTCCCCCATTGGGCCAAGGACAGTCCAGATTGGGCCAAGGACACCTCTGTGACCCCCATTGGTATGAGGACACATCTACGTCCCCAGTTGGGATGAGGATGGCCCAGACTGGGCCAAGGACACCTCTACGTCCGCCATTGAGCCAAGGACAGCCCAGATTGGGCCGAGGACACCTCCACGCCCCTTGATTGGGCCGAGGACGGCCCAGGATCGGGCCGAGGACACCAGCCCACCACCCCGCCGAGCTCACCGCTGAGGTCATCGTTGCGGGCGGTCCAGGGCTCGGCGCCGCCGAAGTGGGTGTCGCCCCCC